TTTCCTTATCATTCTTTTGCAGTTAAACCTTATTACAGTAATTTATCATTTGAATCTGTTCCTTAATAGTATGCTTTATTCAAAGTGACAGGAAAAAATCCTCTTAATTAACCATTAGCTCTTCCTAACAGCAGGGTCAGTACCCAAAATTGGCAAAAATGACTGTTCTAAAACTCTGAGTTACAAAATTTGTTTTGTTGATTGATGGTATCATGTAAAATATTAAAATTGGTTACCCTATCAAAAAAAAAAACAACCTTCTGTATAACGGAGGAATCAAAGATAAAACTCAAGTTTTCTTTAATACAATGCAAGTCATCATCGCAAAAAGCCTCTTTAATTTCTGAATTTATTTTTTTCAACTATAAAGAAGTCCCAGATAGTATATTAAGATAAAAAAAAAAAAAGAAAAAAGTATTTTACGCTTTTTAGGTTCCAAAGTATTCCTTGCTCACAACTACCCCTGATTCAAAATAAGAGCTCATTTATCTTTTAACCATTTTAAGCATTCTGTAAACACTCTCCCTAGCTGCCTGCATGTCCCTACAGATCTCCACTTTCAAAAAAAGCTGCCGAACACCAATCATGCACATTGCAAAATTATCAGCAGTTTTTCTATCTTCTCAAGTCCTCCAAATGCAGTAATTCCAAACAAAAGCCAAACTTTTCTTTTACTCAGCTGTGTCTGTGACAAAAAGCAAGCTGGTTATTCAAGGATAAAAGGTAGCTCCAGCAGTGTCCAGACTTGTCTGGAATCAAATATTTCTTAGCTTACTTCACACTACAAGCACAGATTTCTGAACATCCTTGCCTAAACCACACCTTTCCTGACCAGCCTGCAACAGTACTCATATACCTTTTGCAACCATAGGTTCCAGGGTTTTAGAGAAAAAAAAAAAAAAAAAAAAAGTCTCCTCCACCAAGCATTTGATTGGAGTGGGGTCAAACAGTAAGGACAGATGTCTCACTTTTAACCTTTACACAGCTGGAAGAATACATCTGTTTTCTCTTGGGTATTGGCAGCACTGCTTCACAGACATCTTCCTCTGCAGTGTGGAAATCAGTTTTGCTCTTCTGACTGGTAGCAGAGAGAGGTGATGAGCACCTGGATGGTGAAACCTCTTTGCTCTGAGAGCAAGCCTGTTCATGCTGTGCCATGCCAGCTGCTCAGAACACTGCTCACACCATAAGGAGAGTGGCCAGATAGCTCTGACACTCCATCACTGTTGCTTTTCTTTTCCACACCGGCTTTATCACTCTTCTGACTGAAGACACAAGGTGGAAGCAGTATTCTCAAACAGTCCGCAAAGGAAACTATCTTTTTTTTTTTTTTCAGACATCTCTAGTTCACTATTGCTCAGCCATCAGAAAACGCTATGCAATTTGCAAGTCCACCTGCCTGTGAAATTTCCACTTATGCCAATGCCTTGTAAGTTGGTAGTCAGCACCATACTCTTTAGTTACCCTCAACAGAAGAGTTTGTTGATTTGTTCCCTTTGAGACTTGTTCCTGGCATCTGCAATTCTCAGTAGGTAATCAGAAAAATAACTCACAGATCTTTAAAAGGTCAGTGAGCCAGGAATACTGTAATTTAAGTCAAGACCTGTGCGTATAAGATAGTTAATAAAGACACATGGAATAATGAAATGCCCGAATTCACGGAATGAGGTAGGTAAGTAATATTAAACTTGTACCATTACATGTCAAGGAAACAGACAGGACTGATGTAACATATTACCTCAGTGTGGATGCCTTGCCTTCCACTAAATTCTGACTGGTCATGTGGCCAGCATCCCAAACAGAGAATCCCTGCTGGGTTTTTTTCTCATTTCCACACTGAAAGTGATAGTATAATGACAATCATGACAGAACACATAACTGTCCTGCTAACTAGAACAAAACATATGTAGCAATCAAAACAGGAAGACCAAAGAAAGAGCAAAACTCATGTAAGCCAAACCATTAACCTCCTATGAATTGAACCTGACATACTTTAACTCCTTTTATGCTAATTTTTCAGATGCATCCCTAAAAAGCATTCTTATTTAAAAGCTAAACACACTGTGATATATGAAGAATAATAAAACACACAGAGCTTTAGCATGTGAAAGAAACATGTTACAGTTATGTCAAATACTGCTTCTTATATTTTATTAACAAAGCAAGCATCCCTAGGACTGGCTCTATATAAAAAAATACTTCATTGACCAATCAAGAATACAAGGGAGTTATATAAATTTATTTTATGCAACATTGATTAGTTTTGAAAATTCCCATTTTTAATGTTTTAATTTCATCTTTTATTAAAAAAAAAAATCACTAAAAGGACACAACCCACAAAAATACAATCTGTATCTGCTCTATATTTACAGATAACTGGTCACTATTAAGGCACAGATTTAAAACTAACATTTTTATGTAGCAAGTCAAATATTTGTGCATAATATAACACTAACAATACGGTACACTGTACTGTCATATTCCCTTTGTGGAATCAAAATAAGTGAGAAATTTTATTCTTCCAGTGTGTTCTTTTATTTGTGTGAAGCCCTATTGAAAAATAATGTTGTTAATGGGAAATTCTTCACTTTGGTGTAGATGATATAAGCACTGCTCAGCAAAAGACCACATCAACTTAATACTGTAATAAAATCAGTTTCTGAGTATAGTACTGTCTGGATACATAGTATGTACTTATAAATGACTAAAAAAAAAAATAAAATCTAAGAGTGTATAGGGGTTTTGATGCTTTTAAGTTTAGGCAAAATAAGCGAGAAGGGGTTGCAGAAAATTCTGTACAAAGTGTTGCTGAAAATTTATTTCATTATTATGAAATTATTAAAAATATTTTATAAAAATAAGATGAATGAATACAATTCAATTTGCAAATCCTGGTCTTGCAAATGCAAACATTTAAATGACAGCTTATCTGTAAGCACATAAGTAGGCTATCTGAATGGAACTACCTACATGCTTAGGAATAAGCATAAGTGTAAATACTTTTTGAATTAGAAGTTGTGGCTTCCACGAGGGTTTCAACGAAGTTGCTCTTACCCGTGTAACACATACACACAAATACCTCAAAGATACGTGGATATTGACTTTCGGCATTTGAGCACAGTAACTTTGCTGTGAACAACTGTGTGCCTGGAAGATGCAGCTTTATCCATTCAGATCTGCAGTACAACTTTAAAACCAGAGGACGCTAACTGCTACTTGATCTACAGGGAAAGCCACCCAGTTATACACCATTAAGTAGATATGGCTGAAATGAGTACTGAGCAGTTATTTTTTGCTAACCGCAACACATTATTGATCATCTATGCCCTCAAGTAATAGTTTCTTTAAATTCCCTTTGTGTGTGCAAATTTCTCTAGACATCATTTTGTATTCTCACCTTAAAAGAAAGAATTATCCATGGAAAGTGTCAAAATTAGTTCTCACCCCATTTTTGCGTAAAACCCAACTACTGTAAATGTTACTCTAATGCCTTCTGTTAAGAGCACTTGACAGTGGTTTATGTCCATCTCAAAAGGCTTGTACACTGAACATAAATAATACATTACAGTAGAGGTAATTGACAATATTTCTCATGGGTATGCTTTTCAACAACTTAATGCTTGGAAACTTCATATTGCATTGCAGAAAGAGGCACTTTATGAATTCCTTCATTATATCAGAATCCTTCATAAATTCATAACAAGACATTTGTATAGACAGGAATAATATTGTCAAATTATTTGGACTTTCACAGTATAAGAATGCGATACTTAGTTCTAGCCACTAATAATATGGACTCTTTCTGTTGAACATAACTTGTTTCAGAAATAGTTCATCTCTAGGGTTTCAAACACTTCTGCAGCTGACAATTACAAATCTAGATTGAACAAAACAGATGCTATTACACCTATTTTATGTAGGTCACTTAATTGCTGCATGCATAGTCATGTAAGTAATATGCGTCATTTATTAAATGGCAACAGTGCTGTCTTGTCAAATTAGATTAGTTGTCCGTTTAATCAAACTGACAGCCCAGAGCTCTAGTTTGATGAATGCCTTTCATTCTCTACCATAAATCTGCAGTAGATCAGTTTAATCTGTAACGTACTGTAGGTGTATAGAATCTAAAAATAAAAGTCTGATATAAATAAGTGTCCTTTAGTGGCAGGGTACTAAAAATAGCCCTTTTCTTTGAGACAACCATTAAAAACAGTTTTTAGCATAACAGGTAGCAGTTAAATATGACGACTGCAAAGGGTTAATATTGCAAGGTCCATTTTGGTCTTTCATTGCATCTCTTACAGTGAGTATTATTGCAAGCAGCATTACACTGCTTCATAAGAGCATAACAGGACTGGTCCACTACCAAGTGGTTTGATTTTGGAACAATCTTTTCAGGTAACTACTGGGAGACAGAGAAGGGGGAAAAATCTGCCATAAGAACCAGTTTCTAGTACCATTATAGTGAGATGTGACTTAATGTAGGAACACCTGAAAAAAATTTGATTAGTGCCAATATAAAAATTGATATGGAAATGAAAGAGAAATAGATTTCCACAGGACAAGAAATCAGAACATGTAAAGTGCAGAAAGACCTCAATAATTATTTTAAGCAGTACCAGAAAAATCCATCTTGATAAAACCAAAATCTATGCTCTCTGGCATCCCAGCTCTTCATTCTTCCTTCATTCAACAAGGTAAAAATTCAGTGCATACATTATAGTTATAGGTAATAAAATACTAAACAAAGAACCCTATATTATTATTATTATTGCAAATTCTGTCCAATCTACATGAGTAAGAAGTAACCCACATTTGGTGTTTGAAAGACAACAGACAAAATGTGTTTTCTCTGTTTTTTTGGCACAGAATTGTGCAGACAAAATGCTTTGGTCCTTGACACCCAAACTCCCAAAGTGCAGAGGGTGGTGTGCAGTGAAGGCTGTCCACAGGATTGCCATGTCCATCTTTACAATGACTTTCTGAGCCACAACTTACTGCTACCAGCGACCGCTGACACTAGCAATGTCCGAATGATACTGACGCGGCAGTCTTCCACTAGCTCCACCTTCCAGGAATGAGGCACGTATGTTTGATGGGTCAAAAAGCTTTCTTCGGTTTTTATTCAGTTCTATAATGGTCACACACACAAAAAAACCTCTCATCAGAAATCAATTTTAATATTTGGATCTACACAAAACCAAAACTTCTATTTAAACAAACAAGATTTTTCAGACAGAACAGTATGAACTGAAGATGTCTGAGGTCCTTGTTCAATTTAACAAGTTCAACAGCATAACAAGAACGCCAGGTTAAGACCCATAGAAGCGCTTGGGATGCAGGTTTCTATTTAGTGCAATTCTCATTTGGCACTGACACAATGTGGAGTAGATAATATTTTGTAATATTAATTTAGATCAAATTGGTCTGACTAAAACCCTTTAAAAAGGTTCTGTTACAGTACTCAAAGGCTGCAGTCCTCCTGAAGATACATGCACACAGCATGTATGGCTGAAGTACAACCATGCAATGTAAACCAAGGTGACAGAAAAGCTTATTAGCATCTTGACTATTTCTCAATGTACAATTCTTTATTTTAACAACACTAGAGCAATATTTTAATACAGACTTTTAGAAAAAACAGATGCAACAGATGCTCACCTCTCACTCAAACATGCACCCTAAGCTTGTATTAGCAATTGTTCATCCAGAATGTTTTTCCTTTCCCCACTTTTCTATTCTTGTAAACAAACTCCATGATAGATACAAATCACTGAAAGATTACATAGATTTTCATGATTGCTATTGAACTATGTACTTTGTATTTTACACTCTTTATGCCACCCTTTTAAATTCATGAAAAAACATCCACTAATCCTATCAGCAGGAGATGTAACTGGGAGAAAAATGATCTAGTATTACAATGAAGTATCTGAAGAAAAATCTTCCTCTGCTACAGATTCATTGCCTAGACAATGATGACAGAGCACTCCTATGTAATATGAATCTCATCCTATTTATTACAACTGGGAAAAAAAAAAAATCTAGTTAGGCATTGCAAAACGAAGCAAAAAACCCCAACCCCCAAGAAAACACTGACACTAAAACCAAAGACCCCACCCAATCAGGCATTTTTCCCAGTTAGATGATTGCTCTGATAATCAATAGAGCTTAAAAATGCCAGTTCTGGCTGGTATCCAGTGCTGCTGAGACTCTACAGAGCCTGTAATCCCACAGCTTCTGTGACCCATAGTTTTGGGGCACAGAACAAAGTTCAGTCTGCTGTGAAGCAAATTTTCTACCAAGCTTTAACCTTACAAGGGGACATAGGACTACGCAACTGAAATCTTATTGAAATCTTATTATTCCTACTGAAATCTTATTACTGGTAATGTGAAAGCTCTACGTAACCTGGTTTTAAGCACCTTCCGATGAGGGGCAAGCCAAAGTGACTTCTGTGCACTAGACTCCTATTTTTCAGTCCTTCCAAGATCCTTTGCCAACTATAAACAAACAACTCAAGAGAAAAGAATACAAGCAATACTTAAAATCAACAAATGATAATGGGTGTTATTTACCAGAGATTGCAAGCAGCATTTTTCTTCTGGCACCAAAAGTGGTAATTCCCAACTCTTTCAAATCTTGATCAGTAAGAGTAAGGAATGTCTGCAGATCAATCTAGAGTAAAAAGAAATACAAAAAATATGCAAAACAAGTCTCTCCCCAAAAGCAGTAAGCCATAAATGTGGCTCAGAATACTTTCACAGTTTTTTTCCTACTGCATTTTACAGTTACTCTGCCAGGCTTTTCTCTGCATGTAAACAGCAATCATTGCTTTCTAGTGGCTTCTTCACAGTTACTCAATTTGCTACTCTGCATTTCTGACAGATAAAGAGAAACTAAAAAGTGAGCAGTTTGAGAAAAGCACTGAAGATCAATTTTATTTTGTGACTTGAGATTTCAAGTGTTTACAACATTTGCTACAATGTACCTGGGAATAGCCAGGTATGTATGTCTGTATATGTGATAGGTGCTTCAGACTGTAGTGGGTTAGCAGAGGATGATTGCTCAACTACTGGTGACACATTTGAGTTACAGCACCAAGCACTCCCAAGGGTATACAACCATGTACATTTACAGGTTTTTTTGCTCCCAATACAATTCAGAAATATAGTAGAAAATACACTCTGGCCAAACTACTTGACTCATCTCACACCTAATCAGCAACTCTTGTGGTAAGAAAAACCAAACCAAAATCCCACCTATCAAACAAAGCCCATTGTATGTTAGAAACCAACAGCCATCTTGCCTTTTTATGAGTGTCTAAGATAACAGGAGTGGATTAATGACTGGACAATATAGGTATTATGGAACACGCAAGGGAGTAAGAAGATAAACCAGAGGAACCGTACACAGAATTGAGACACAGTTGGATTTATTTGTTCAGATTGAAGATTGACCCCACAGCACTTAAGCAGCATGATTAGAGACAGGAAATGCTATCAGGAAACTGCCCCCAGGCTGAGACAGCAGTAATATACTTGAGTAGACTCAGGACAATTCTGGGAGTGCATACACGTAAGTGACTTAGTGCGCAGAAGGTACAATCTTGCTTCATGTCTATCCTTGAAATAGTGCAGTACACACTTGAACGTGTCCTGGTGTGCAGAGTTTTTCCTCTCCTGGAAGCAAATCTGAAGCTAAGTATTGACACACCAGAGTAACTCAAGCAACATGCACAGAAGATCCTCCTGAAGTTTGCTCTTCGTGAACATGTTCATGGTTCTCAATGACATGGCAATCAGTGCAAAAACCCACTTTGTGTGGTCTGTTAGGAAAAACCATACAGGTGGGAATCTGCAACCAGCAACTGGTGCAGACCCCACTGCTGATGAAGGTGCAAAAAGCAGACATATGGGTCCGGACACAGGAATATGCCAAATCTAGCTATGGTCCTCCCTCTGTACCACATGAGATACTGACACAACCCACACGGATCTCTGTTTTGCTCCTTAGTAGACCCAATTCTAGCAGTGTGACACATACACTTCCCATATACAACAGTGCTTTCAGGACAAGCTTAGGGACTCTATGTCTAAGCCTGTAAATCTTGCAGCTGGGCTGACTGTACTTTTGTGACACGGTTGAATTTGTCACCGGCAAAAATTAGCTGGAGATAACCAAGCTGACTCTAGCTATATAGTATTCTATGGATATGAAATGCTATCACTTGGACTAAACTGAGATTAATTGGTGCAGAGGTGGAAATCACACAGGTGACTGACCACATCTCTCAGTTAGGAGTGAATCAAAGTCAGTCAACTGGCACACAGGGAAAGTTTACAGTACTCACATCCAGGCTGGCTATTTGGAAATTGAAAGATGTATGATACAGCTTTGAAAGAACAGCTCATGAAAATCCCATCACAAAGCAGACTTCATAGCATCTTTGGTAAGAAAATCCCATCACAAAGCAGACTTCATAGCATCTTTGGTCAAGATAATACTGCTGGAAAACATACTACAAACACAAAGGTGTCTTTTGAATGAACACTAACCTCTTGCTGTTGGAATATGTCTGTGTATTTGCCCAAGCCAAGTTTGCTGAACAGCTCAGGCAGATCAGATCCCTTGAACAAACTGTTGAGGTTACAGCCATTGCTTCCTGTCAGCGAGGAAATGCAGTCCATGTAATTACTGCTACTGAGATAGTGTTCAGCTGAAAGGGAAGATGTGCACTTTTTAGACACATCACAGAAGTGCACAATTTTCTGTTATATCAATATTGTATTCACTTAGATCTTTAAATGAACAAAATATTTAAATCTTCATTATTCAGGAAAAAAAAGCTTCTCAGCGGTCTGAGAGAACAAACAGCATAAAGCAAAGTTTTTGTTTTCTATGGAAATATAATCGGGTAAATCTTTTAAGCAATAAAATCATATTATTAAAATGTCACATGGATACAAGTCAGGAACCCATACAGGGGAAAGAACTGCAAGAGATGCTGTTGCTTTTCCTCCTTTTAAGGCCTCGCCTCTTCTCTCTGGTGAGTATTCTGGAAAACACCACTGCACACAAATGCAACCAGCCCTTTTTCATCTGGATGAAAACCATGCTGTAGCAATTCCTGGTAAAGGAACTACATAGCAGCTATGTGATTTGGCTATTTTTTTAGTATAATACAGACAAAAATAATAAATGCAATAGTTTTATAAAAGACTAAAACTAGAAATAGGGCCACTGTACAATTTTAAATTGCATGTCTAAAAGGTGTATCTTAAAAAAAAGTTTCTAGGGTAAGACTTTTCAAAAACCCCAAGAAAACAGATTTAGCAGTGCAATCCCTTTCCTAGGTGTGTGCACACTGATAGTACACAATCACATAGTTAATTATTTTTCCTCGTGCTGTAAGAAAAAGGATAGCTCCCAGGGAGTGCATCAGGCATTTGTGCAAATAGGACCGCGGTGAGTGCTCCCTCCATCATTACAGACACAGGAAAGAACAACAGTGAATACATAAGAGGCTTGCAGGATAAGATTTACAGAGTTTGGAAAATTTCTATCAACCTCAGCTCCATTTCGGAAAAAGTTTTAAAATACAGTAAACCATTCAGTGTTGAAAATGTGAACATTAAGTTTGGCAAATGAAGCGATAACTATGATGATTTTTTAGACTTTAAACAGCAGTGCTTCATTTTTTTTTGCTATCACAGTAAGATAACAAAAATGCCCAAATAGAAATTTATGATGCTACACTCTGGGCAGATAATACAAAGTCATGCACTGAAGATTGAATATTAAGAACTACTTCTTACTGGTACACTCAGGAAGCATTATCTTAAAAAACAAAGACATTCAACATTTCTACGTAACTGTGCCAATGAAGACTTACATTTTAGTACTCTGGCACTTATACATTAAGATAAATACATTTGTACAAGAAACTCATAGCTATTTCTTTTGTCCCTCCTCCATGCATTTTATACTCTGGGAAAGCTACAGCTGTTATAGAACAATTTCCCCTATAGACAATGTATTCACTTTTCTAATTTTCCTCTAATGCATATATAAATACATTTTTAATCCTTATTTATTTTTATTAACCTACAGCTTCTATTTTTGTCCAATTAATCTGGAAGCCTAAATAGCTCAATTTCAAAGCAATTTTTTATCTCTTTTGTTCCGAGTACTTAGAATATGGTATACAGCCATTCACAGCTGAACTAACATGGAATTATTCATGGTTTTAAAAAGCAAGTATAACAATCATGAATATTTTCTCTAATTGAAGCTATCTTTTCTTTGGATGTCCAACTTATACTATCTGTGTACTTTACAGCTAATCTCAGATTTAGGTTTAATTCACATTTATAAGAAAAGTGATACAAAAAAAGTAAAAACAGCCATAGTAATTATTTCCCCATAATGCACTCAGTATGGACCAGTATTCTCTACCTCCATTTCTCTCTTTCAGAAAGGTAATATATTAAGTTGTTAAAAAAAAAGAAATTAAGTTTCAAAGAGTACAACTGAAATAAAATGTTAATTTTCAAGTTTCAAATGTTATTTTAAAAGTAATTACAAAATTTACAGCCAGTGTGCACAGAAACCAGTGTTTAAAATGATGTGCTAGGCCATGCCAAACATATGGATAGTCTTATCACCATAAAGAGAATCAGCGTCAGCACAGAGTACGACTTCTTCACCAGGGAGCAGCAAATAGCCCAATAAAGATCTGGCTGTTGTATTGGTAACAGCAGAATGATGGTAGTCTAGAAATAAGCTTTTATATGGGTCTGTTTTCAGTAAACTTTGAAAATCCCTTTCCAAGACAGCAAAGAGCTTTCAGCAAGCATGTCTTGCATTTAAAAAAATTTCCTTAAGAGTTTTCCTTTTGGACCATTATTCATATATCATGTTATACAACCCTGCATATGCTTTCACTTTTCAATTTGTAAAAAAAAAAAAAACAAAAACAAAAACAACTTACTTCATAGTTGTTGGTAATTTAAATCCCTAGTGATGGCAGGAAACATTCAAATAAATATTAATTGATATCAATATGATTTTTTTTTTAATAAGATCTTAAGAAATTAACCTGATTTATTCTGTTTTCGTTTGGGGCTTCCAATTGAGGAGACAAATTCATTATGAGCTGTGGGTCCAAGCCCATTACGGTCTCTCCAGTTATCAGATTCACTGCCATTTCCCAGGTGCTCCCGACTGCTGGACCGAGAGAGAGACATTGATGAACCCTGCAATTCACAAAAAGAGAATTTGGGCAGAAAACAGAAGTTTCATTGTGATTCAGATGTTTTCTTTGAAGCAGCTTAGTTAAAAAAATCCCAGCCTTTAATGCTTGCAAACATTCTTTTGGCAGTTGATCAATAGTCAAATAATCACAACCGGACACAAAAACAGCAGGTGTGCTAAAAACATTTGCAGTTCACAGATTTTAAGTAGAAGTTATTTAAAGACCATGCTTCAAAATAATTTGCTCAGTATTTCCAAGTTTGTTTCCAAAACATTCCATCGTATCAAATTCCCCACACAAATTCTAGACAAAGCAGTCTACCAACTATATGCCTTCAGAGGGAAGAGAACATAACAGAATATCTATCTGAAGGCAAGTGGATCAAGTACACAATACTTGACAACACTATTGTACACAGAGCAACAGTAATTCCACAATGGTTTGTGAATTCAGATTATTTTTTTAAACACATTTTCATATTCTTATAAAGTACTAATTATCAATTCTCATCATTGTGGCTCTGAATGTTCCAAAATAAGGGAATGGTATTCCGTGACAGCAGCAGTTAACTATGGAATTGGGTGGGGATGTACCCAGAAGGAGATGGACATTATTGATACCACACACTTACATGAACTAGAAGTTGTGTAACCAAATGAATAAATTAATTTTATACACTTGCATCAGATTCCAACAAAACAGAAAAACAACAACAGAAAAAAAACACAAGTTAGGAGGCAGCAATCTTCTCTACTATTCCGGAAAATCGACACCACTGAAGAAAGAAGGCAAAAGCTCATTATCATTGCCAAAACTGGAAGATGTGAGCTATGTTTATCACAACTCAACAAATGAAGAAAGGCAGGAATTGACTACAAGTCTTACAGAAGACCATCATTGTCTGGGGGAAAACCCCACCCCAGGTCAGTCAATATAGAAAAGCATGTTAAAAAACAATTCACAGATTTTGCTTGCAGCTTTTTCTCTCCCCCTAGTTACTCCTGCAAGCTCGTTATGTGTATTTGAATATTTGCATACATTATGTGTATTCAAACCTATTACATACAGTTAAACAACACAAAAAGTTCAGATGTCAAGTGGGGAACACCTAGGCACATTGTTAACAAGGTTGAATATTTCTTTTGCATTAGAAGTTAGATACATCCTAGAGAAAAATTGTAAGAAGTCCCATTCCTGAAGAAACATACTATTTACATTTTGTGTAAGTAGGACAGAAACGAAGAAAAAGGTGTCTCTATGGAATCTGGTAAAGATTGCAGCAAGTAAAGGCACTAAAAAGAAACTCAGAGCACCTTTGAAAAAGAAAGGAACAAATTCCCTGCAAGATTTCTGTGGTGGGACTCTAGAGAGACTTGCTGGACCCTGTGGCTACCTTCTCCCTGTGAAATTTCTGGGCCCAGTGGATAACGCAAATCGAGAAAACTCTTCCAGTTCTACAGCTTTATCAACAGAAGGTAATATGAGCTACAGCCATTTCTTGTTCTAACATTCTGCTCCATCATGCAGTGATTCACATTATATAGTTTATCTGTATACACACAATGTTCTAATTAAGTTACAAAATTTCTACCACTTGTCTGCAATTATTGAGACATTTGGTCCTATATGTTGTTTTAAGTTTATTTAAACAAATATATTTTCAGGAGCAGACTCCTAATAAAGCTAGTGTAAGATTTATAAAGCAGATATAATTGTGTGTTGGGTTGAATGTGTTCCATATGCCTTAATATTTACAGAACAAACATTTTTCACCATAAAAAAAATATTTAGAACCCAAAGAAGAAAGCTAAAATTCCTATCTGCAAGACAACTTTTCTAAAAAGTTAGACATTTCTCAAGAGAAACAACTGGATCATTCACTAAAAGTAAATTTCCACAGTATAGTTTCTTATACCTCATATGTAGTTGTCATAGATGGCTTGTAAGATACATGATTTGCTCTTCTTAGTTCCTTGATAGTTTCTGCAGGCATAGATTTAGAGAACCCCAAACCACTCCACGTATTTGTTGGAGTTCTCACTTCTGTTACAACTGGCTTCTTTAACATTGCTAAATAAAAAAAAAAAAAAAAAAAAAAAAAAAGAAAAAAGAAAAATAGAAAGACAAATTAGTAAATCTCAACCTTAATAAAGGTACTGAGATGATCATCCCAAAGCCATGTATGCTAACAGACTTCAACCCACCAAATGGTAAATTCTAAACAGTTTCACTTGCTACACAGCTTGAATCCTACTCTTTCTTGAGGCAATTTATTCTATGAAAAGATAGTTAAACCCCATATGGCTGCAAGGAAGCCAAATGAATTATCTGTTTCAAAGAGGGGAGTTTCCAGCTTCATTTTGGACCAAAGCTATGGTTAAGTCCCTTACCAGTTTTGTTACTTAATTTATCCCTCACATAAGGAGCAACTTTGGCAATATGACAAACATCTGAAAGTTTAATTTGCATCCAAATAAAATCAAGTATTACAGCTATGAGGTCTCTGGGAAAAAAAAAAAAAAAAAAAACCCCACAAACAAAACAACCAACCCACCAAAACCCCACCACAGATCATTTGCATATGGATACATTTGCACAGAGAGCATCCCATCTGCAAGTTGTTTTTACTGCATTTTATACTATACTGGTATTAAGAAATTTTTAGAACATGAAAACTATTACAAATGTTTCACTATTAGCTTTAGGTTTGACTAATAATCAAATTACAAAACTGAAACTTCAGAAAGTTCTTGCAGCCATGTACTAACTTTTCAGAAGTAACTGTTTATCCACATACCTTTGGTTGCTAGTAGCTTCTTCTGTTCATAGTCAAATGCCTAGAAAGTAAACATGCAGAAGATAGCTTAACTGCCATTCTGAATAAATGTCATTCTGGTACTCAGCTCTTGTAAAAACAAAGGTTTTGAAAGTGGCCAATGAATACATCTAGGAGAAACCTGAAGCACTACACAATAATTTGACAGCAATCCAGCTAGAGCCTTAAAGTGTTCACTCAATAATAGATAACAGATTTTAATTAACTATCTAATATCCATTTGAGTGAGGCTGCAGTAGTATTTACAAACTTTTTAGGCAGAATTTTTCTTTGATTTTAGTAAGACATTTTCCAAACATATTTTCCCTTCCTTGATCATCTGTTCTTAGCATTTAGACTTTCCTCAACAGTACAAAATATACTATCTTAAACAGCAAAACTAGTCACCGCAGTTATGTTTAATCATCTTTCAAGTCTAGTTCTCCATACAGTCATCTTCTGAAAGAAAAAGAACTGAAGTTTTGAGAGAATTAAAAACCCCTATTATTTGCACTACCTATAAAAATAAAAGATTTGAAGTTTAATTAGCCCTGGTTAAGTAAGTTACACTTCTTTGAATGACAGATTAACAGGTCTAAACAAACACAGTATTACAAAAATGCAGTATTTAGCCTGAAGTGTAGCCTAAATTTAACTCACTGCTTGAAATAACTAGAGGAATAACTAAGGAAGAAGGCTGCAAAACACTAACCTTAATCTTGTTCCACTATTCCATGCAGTCTAGTTATGCCCACACATTGATAGATCCTTACTGAAAACTACTCTGATACTACAGCTTGCAAAAAAGGGGTTTCTCTCTTTAGGGGAGATCTGCAATAATATGGACTTAGTTTATAGTACAGTAATAGGATACAGTTAAAGTAGGAGTTGTGTTGACATCGCTTATGAAAAGTTATAAAATGTCTTTTGTAGATCTAATTTGCTGTTCTCAAGGCAATGACCTAAGGTTTTTTGGTTTTTGTTTTTTTACCTACAAATGATGCTTGTGCTGACTAATACAGATATCCAATTTATTTTGTACTTAAATTTTTCTTATTCAACACAAGCATAAGGGCTTTTTTGTCTTCTTCAAAACTTTTAGTTGACAACTGTCTTTTCAGTAAAGTTAACAACTTTACTGGGAAATGCTGTTACTGAAATGGTAGTTGCAAGTCAGTCTACTAGTCAACAGTCACCTTCGCGTTCTGTGGTAATTTCACTTTGCAGTTACCAAGTTTTGCTCTAGATTTGGCTTTATTCAGGGAAACATACCTGCATGTTTACATATGATGGCTGTGGAGCTAGGCGTGCTCTTTCAGAGTTCTGCTGGGCAGCTGCTGCTCGCTCTGCTGCCCGTTCACTTCCAGGAGCCTTTTTATCAGCCATGGGACTTTCAGAAGCACTTAACTCTGCATCTGAGAGCAGCCTCTCTGCAGTACTGGGGGAGCAAAGTCAGTGTTAACTCCAGCTCTGTTTATCATAAGCAGTGGACATTCAATGCCATTTTGATAATCAAGCTGTATCCTGAGAAGTTTGGCAGCAAAATTCAAGAAATGCCAGTATGCAAACATCTTAGTGTTTTTAGCAATATTTCCAAAGTCTCAGCTTTCCCTTTACCTGTTTCTCCACCAGTGAATCAAATCATGTATTGCTGCTTCTTATACTAAGTATAAGGCATACTTTATAGATTCAGATTTGATCTGTCCGTATGTGGAATTACCACAAGCAATCCCTACACAGAGCGACTTCATATGGTTTAGCTTTGCTCAGGCCAGCAGTTCTAAGTAGATTGATAATACTAGGATAAAGAGAGATGCATAAGGGGGACTAAGAAAGTTAACATGGGTCCTACATGCTTTTCAAGCTTTAATAATTGCAGTCCTACATGCTAAAGTACCTTTTAATGTAATCTTTTCTTTCAAATGAGAAAAAAAAAAAAAAAAAAGAAGAAAGAAAAAAATCAGCCACATTTTATGCCTACTCTAGAACTGAACGAGAGTACAAGCTCTTACTTCAAAGCAAAGTGATCATGTTTTAGATGCTGTAACAGCACCACAGAAAAATGCTCTAAGGAAACTTTGAGCACTATAGCCTCAACAAAAAGAACAAGAAATACAAACAACTGATTGACATATGAACAACTGAGTCTGGTTAGCCAGCATCCTTGGATTTCTAAACTGAGAGCAGAATTAATGAGATAGATATCATAGTTATAACAGTGTAAATGAGGTAAGAGAAAATATGCATCTCAACTGAGTGACGATAAACAGTTCCCAAAAGGAATAATGAAAACACTGCTTAAAGTAGATCAGAGAAAACATTGTGTTAAGCTCAAAACTAAGGCTTATTATGACTCAAAAGAGCCTTTCCCATTGCTAGCTCATTAAAAAAACAAACCAAACAAACAAAAATCATTGAGACAAGTTTTTGAGAACATGTTGTTATGCCCTGAATACTGTTTTTCTAAGAAGAAAACAGCCTCAGGTACACACAAAAGGGAAAAGGCTATCAGTCAGGAATTGTTTTTAAAGCAATCAATAAGAAAAGGAAAGTGCAAAAATGTATCCTTTAGAAACAGGTAATGAAAGTACCTCTGAAAAAACATCTCCATTCTTTTATCGAAGAGAAACGGCATTCATTTTTTTTTCAGATCAAAGAAGAATGTACAAAACGCATTCAAAATTTGCAACTATCAGACAAACTGGAGGGAGCATATTAATGCTTAATGTGATTAAGAATCAAGCCCAATTCAAATCAGTTCTTTGATTATCTTAAATCTGAACCACCTCTTCTACCTACAAAAAGATGTTAAGTATACTTGCATGGCAAAAGGTCTGTTATTTGTACATTTAACTTACTGTAAGTGGGAGTTTTTGGTGCCTTGCAGTAATTCAACTGTTTGTCTCTTAACACAGGCCTGTTTAGAAGAGCTCATCATCTGCTTCAGATCACTGGTATTTGCTGAATGGGATGGACTTCTTGGCATGCCCACTTCTACAAAAGCATCATTGCAACCTACAAGACCAATAAAGAGAACAGTTAAATAAAAACCTTTTTATGTTCTAGTGAACTTGCTGAAGGAATGACAACTAAAGAACAAAACCTGCTCTTCCTCCTTATAGAATTATTGTAGTCTTTGGACATAACTTGGTCAAGGTTAAGTCATCAGAAAAATAAGTTCAGCTGTTAGTATTCATAAATATATTAGACACTAAGTATTTTCCTTTTCTGAAGGCTGAGAATCAGAAGTGATTAAGCTTTTTGAACAAATTTGATTTTATAGCTAGTTTTCATAAACCTTGCCAGGTGCTCAGATAACTTTTGATGGAATAAAAGCTCCCCACTTAACGTTCAAACATCTTTACAGTGTATTTTTACAAGTATTTATCACCTTAATTGGGCAATGTACCTTTTATTCAAGTCAGCATTTCAAATGACCGCAATCCTTAATAAAAGAGCATCTCCTTGTTGAACAGTATTTGCAAGGGAACAGCCTCTGCTCAAGTTTGAAGGGGAACTGGCTTTCCCTCCCTCCAAGAATGACTGAGACAATTTGTTAGTTCCTTTAGCTTCTACAACGCAACATAACTGAAATGCTGTTATAAAACATGTAAATAAATTCCATCTGCCAGTGTCATCCAAGTTGGATCTACACAATTATCTGCAATAACCTTCTCAAAAGCATTCTCTACTTTCATTAAAAAAAAAAATAATAAAAAGTTACAACATCATTTGAACCAGTAGAGATTGTTTTAATCAATGAAGTTAAGTTGCTGTAAAACATATTAAGATTTTCAAAGGTTATCTCCCTCTGCTCTTAGGGAATTAAAAAAAAACTCCAAACAAACAACCCAACAAACAAATGCTACAGGTGCATTTACATTTACTTAAGTTGTTTCTATTAACAGTACAGTTCAGCTACTACAACTTCTGTTTACTTCTTCGACAACAAATCTGGGAGATCCAGCGATATTTTCTTTCAACATGGCTGCAAAACCAATGCACAAGCAATATATTTACATTTCTGTTTCATGAACTGTACATAGACTCTGCAAACACAAATAATAAAATGTCAAAATCTTACCTTCTGCACTATTTGACTTGGAAGCTACTTGTTCTGAGGCACCATGAGTACTTTTTTGTCTTACCGGATCACTGTGGTTTGTGCTCAACACATTTTCTCCTAGTGATGTGGCAGACAGTGCAGCATACTTGATATTTGAGGTCTGAAATGATTGTCAAAAATCACTAAAGTGATTGTTTTGCTTAAGGAAATATGGAAAGAATTTCCCTTTTCTATCTGAGCAGGAAAAGAAACCCATTCCTGACAGAGGAGAACAACATGTTTGAATGTTCCATTTGTCCATCTCTAAGTCCTATTTTGACAACAGCACTGTTTATTTCTAAATTGAGCAGCTTTAAGAGTCTACTAATATATCTAGTTTTGTCTGAGATTTTCTTAGTAGAGTACTTGGTTCTCCAGAGACAGTATCACTTACCTTCACATGACCATTTAAAGAAGGTGAACCTTTTTTACTCTCTGATTGCATGCCATTAACGTGGACTTCAACAGGAGTCAAGCCTGGTGGTGGACTTGGAGTATTTTGACTATAACTAGGTACTCCGGACAACAGAATACTTGTTAAGGTAGCTTGGGCAGTGGACGGTATCATTAGGTGTGGAATAGCAGAAAAACCTATAACAAAATTTGGTCATGTTATGATTAAGTTTCTCATTTAACTTTCTCAGGCATTATAGTACTTTATGTAAAATCTCTATCTTTATGTAGCCTTGATACATCACTAAACAAGTTTCCATTAGAATTGGTTGCTAAAACCATAATGCTTTATCTAACTATTACTTTGTAGGTTAACAGTTTTCTATATTATGTAAGATGAAAGCATTGTATGTGACAGTATGTTGTAAGTTTATATTAAGTTATAACTTAAATATGAATATTTATTCATCTGTTTTAAGATAAATTTTGGAATCATTAAAGTTCTAAACAATTAATGATTCCAAACTTTTCAATTGTCATTCTAATGACAATGTTGACCAGTTCCTTTAATTCACATTTACTGTCTACCAACCTGTGGTATTTGTGTTGGCAAGAGATGTTGCCCATAACGTGGGACTAGGTGTGCCTGAACTTGGACTTTGCAAGGGACTCACAGAGCTGTTAAGGGCATTCAACAGAGAGTTCGGAGCAGTTGATGTGTTGACTGACAGGGCTGTTGGACCTAAAAGACCTGCAAAAAATTGCTCAAATCACCGTTTAGCTAAAACTTAAAGAACATATTTCACAAAAGTACCAATTAAAACCAAACAAACCCCCACTAAATTGCACCAGCATGTATTTTACAACAAATTTTAACATTAAACCTGCTGTTAACTTGGTGCACAAAGCACATTAAGAATGCTCATTCTTAAACTAGGAATTACATATCCGAGAACTGGAACATCTTTTAGGTCCTTCTACTGGACTCTAACTATTGTCATAACAGAGTCTGCACCAGCTGCATCTCAGCTTCACCATCTCTTTGTATCTCCTCTATTACTTCTGTCAATTTATTTCAAAAGAAGCATCAGAGAAAAACAACTGCACTACAGAACCCTACTTTTATTTCAGACAATAATCTTTTTCTCAGAAGCTCATATGAATGAAACAATACTTCCATACCAAGACTATTCAATTCCTCAATAATGACTAATAATCATCCCCCAAATGCACTGCCTATTCCCAAAGCATTTCCTCAAACTAGGTCTTCATGTAAGAGCATTCACAATGCAGTTCAGCACCATACTCTGAAGAAGTTAAAAAACCAACCCCAAAGTGTGGGCATGACAAGAACATTCACAAAAGCAGCATTAAAACCACAGTCAAATGGCACAAACACTTGCCCCTGTGTGACTCCCAAGAACACATGTGACATGGAATTATGCAGCACTCCTGGACGGCAGGTCACAAAGGAGCACAGTGGTTACATGAGAACTCCGAGTTACATGAGAACCAGAGTCAAGATTTGTGACAAAGTAGTTCTGGGACTGCTTGGTTCTTTATACATTTCTGGTAATAGAGTACTTCCAGATCTTGAAATTAAAAGTCTAATTCCAAGTCTGGACTATACTGCTATAAAATTACATTACATAGAAAGCTTACACATTTCTGTCCTAAATTTCGTATTGATAAGTAAGGTCTATACTAGTGGCATGTGCACCTCCCAATTACAGCAAGATACTGCCAGAATTGAAATGTGGTGTTAGCCATGTTAACTTTCATGTTACTGTTGACAGGCTTAAGTACCTACCCAAATTCAGGGCAGTCTAAGACATCACAACATTAATGAAGATATATATCTAATTTGAAAATGATGCTTCCTAAAGTTGTAAAAGCAACATCCCACTCCACCTATATTTTCCCTTCCTCTCAGTTTCAGCTGAGCTGTTTACAAGCTTCTGTAGGATTTTCTAGAGATGAGTCACACACCTGATTACAAAAGTATTGGAGGAAGTTTTATAGCAACAAGCCCTTGAAAGGCCAGATGCTTTCGGAATTCTCCAATGCTTTAACATGATTCTTTATGCAAAACACACATCTGGTCCTTTTTTGTAGTACAAGTGAACTGAGTTTCAAGCAAGATAAATAAAAAAATAATAATAAAAAAGTAATATATATAGACTATAATGCATACCAAGCCCAGTGAGTCCTAGTCCTGCTGAGGACAAGATATCCAAGCCAGGACAAGACAGACCAACAGGGCACGAGACAGTAGAGGGATTTGATGCTACGGTGACTCCACTACTTTCAAGTCCCAAGAGACATTTCCGTGCCTCATACATATTTAAGGCATTTCGTTCAACACTTTTTACAATCACAGACTGTAGAGAAAGAAAAGAAAAAAAAAAAACAAAAAACAAAACAAAAACAAATAACAAAACAACAATAAATTAAAACCAGTAAATAACAACCACATAACACGAATCTGCAACACACAACTCTTCATACTCTTTTCATGGCTATTGGTAATATAGCAGTATGAGGCAGCATGAGATAATGTCCATTTGATAGGAGGTTTAGGGATTTTGTATGCACCTGACAGTGAGAATGATGAAAGACCTTTCTGTGTAAGCAAAGTAATTACTGTACCTTGGTGCTATCTGATATACTAAATTGTAAATGCACCAAGATCTAGAAGTTAATCATCATTTAAAATCTTATCTTCTATCTGAGGTCTATACCTCAAAGTGGACAAAAAGTTGTTCATATTAAATTCAGCTATGAAATTCTTAACTGTCTGAGAAAAAATGCCTGCAAAATTGAATTACAAAACCCATTATATTTTTTTCTTTCTTGTACATTCTCTACACAATGTTTCTTTGTATTGATTTCATATATCCTTACACACAGCAGCTTACTTATTGACACAATGGAATACTCATTTAATAGTTTGAACTTTTTGTCTGTTATGGCATTACATAAAACAAAGCAGGTAACTGAGTTGCCTATCCATACTCACCCAAATATTGTACAAATGAACAGCTCCCATTAGAAGTATTTTCTGATTCTCATTGTTCTTTTCAGCATCTTGTGTAGAACACAGACTTCTCAGTCATATTATTTTGGGGTTTTCTTTTGTTTTGGGTTTTCTGGGGCTTTGTTTTTTTGTGTTTAATTTTTACTGCTAAAGAACACTGCAGTTATGTGGAGAGCTGCAACTTAAGACTAATTTCTTTAAAAAGAAATCAAGAGTAGTTCTAATCAGATACAGTTTGTTCCCTCATAATTTATTTCTTTTATCAGTATATTCCATATAACAGCTAATGTCTGTATTGTCAGATACTTAATGAAAGTCAAATTGCCATTAAGGAGAGCTGTTGTAACATTTAAGCTGGCATTTCAAGCAGAAAATATATAATACCTCTTCCAAGTTTATGATCCATTAAGGTAGGGAGGAGGATCAGATGTGTCAAACTCACCAGCTCTGAAAAGTTCACAGGAAAGCCTGGAAAGAATATATTAACTTCTCACCAACCTTGCTTGGTTGCTTTGGCTTCGGCTTAATGCTTATGAAGACATCTAACTGCTCCATTAGCTGTGTTATAAACTGTGGTTCTACTTCAATTTCTTCCTTCATATCAAACATGAGCACAAGTGGAAGGCAACCCTGAAAACATGCAAAAAAAAAAAATCATAAAACTTGTAATCTACCCTTTTCCCATGAAAATCCTAGCAGTATGATGAAACAGATTATAATAGAAGTACATCATAATACAATAAGTTCTGAAAAAGTATCAAAGATGAAATTTTAAGTAAAGCCATTTCCTTGTATGCAAGAATACAGGTGTATATTTCTACCCTGGGATTCTGAACAAACATTTTGATGATATAAGGGTAAAATGATTTGTTGAATATTTGACATTCCAATCAGCCCATATGCACACTGCATTAGCTATTTATACAGACTTAGAAGACTCCAGACGGTTCAAATTCAGAAACCATTGTTGTCTCTTAAATCTGAACAAAACACTGTCAGGAATTGACAGCAGGACTCTCATATACTCCAATGGCTCACTTTAAACTACGGTTGAGATAAGGAAACAATTCTGAGGAAATGTCTCTGTACGTCACCATTGCCCAAGTCTTAACTTCTACCTTCCTCTTCCCCTGTCCTAGATCTGCTAGGTAAGTATTTTCCAGTAATATGGATGACATCTCTAAAATACTTGAAATATTGAAACTTTAAGTAATAAAAAAGTGTCCCTAAAAAAAAAAAAAAAAAAACCACAAAAAAACCAAAAACACCCAAACACAAGAAAAAAAAAAAAAAAAAAACCTCAATGGTCACAGGATATTATTAAATTGCAACTTTTAATAAACTAAAATTAGAGGGTATAGTCAGTGAAAAACAAATCCTACTTTTTGTGATTTTAGATTCACAATGAAGTAAACTATTATATATATTAGGGAAAAAAAACACAGTAAGATACATTTATGAAAGTGGTCTTGTTTAATTAGTTACCTGCTTTTACTTCAGAATGAAAAACAACAGATGGGAGTATTTATTCTTCAGATCACTAGTTCACTATTATTTTATATTTAAATAGGACTTCTCAACAGTACCACCTACAGCTACATAGTACTTCCAAAATTTAAATTAAAAGATAATTTTAAATTAAGGAAAATTAGAGCAAGGCACCTTCACAGAATCCTAGAATGGTTTGGTTTGGAAGGGACCTGAAAGATCATCCAGTTCCAAACCCCCTGATATGGCATAGACACCTTCTACTAGATCAGACTGGCCAAAGCCCCATTCAATGCCTCAGGCATAGAGCAAGAATATTTCCAACAAGACTCCAAACCCCTCTTGCTTAAGTAAGTATTTAATTTTAAATCACTATGTATTCTTTCTTTCCTTTTACAACTTGCCATCATCATTACTGTGAGTATTGCCTTAATCACAACACTGAATATATTCCTGCAAGCAATATGCTGATGACTAGAAGCTAAGACTTGCAATGATTGTCAGAGATAAGGGCTATTCCCACTTCATGCACCATAGAATTCATAGCTTTCTCAATAAAATTAATTACTAGCTGATATTAAAAGTTTCCATTTAGACATACTGCTAAGCAATTTTTTAAGACAGCACTAAAAAATTACATATGTCCTACTGTAAGGTATCTATCTATGCAATGCATTGTAAACTCTGGCTCAGATTTAGTCTTTTATGAGAATTACAATCACAATGCCTTATAAGTTCAGAAAAAATGTTATTTCTTTCCTTGGTATTGATGTTCAGGTGCTTCTAGATAGCAGTTTCTAAGAACTCTGCAGAGATGAAATCACTATTTTTAAATCCCCTCTCCAATTCCATAGGACATTTGTGTTGCCTAGCTGTGAAACAGCATCAGCTGTTATTCTGACTGAATAAGAAGAGCTGCCAGGAGGCAATAACAATGGTGTCCATCGTGAGAAGGCCAGTATATACAGTCCCACCTTGCAGTAAATCACTCCAGAACACAAAAATTTCATTCCACTGAACAATGCCCAAGAATAAAACAAAAAAAATAAAACAAACAAACAAAAAAACCAACCCAAACCACCCCCCCCCAAAAAAAAAAGTGAATTGAAATTTACTTAAAAAGCAGTTGAGAACAGCTGCAGCATGTAGGTATTGGCATGGGTGGAATATTTTTTTTTTATCTGAAGCTGAAAAATACTGCTTTTTTACTAAGTTAGAAATTGAAAGTAAGTTTTTATCTAGTTAGTCGCTTCCTTCCTCAGCTTTTCAAATTTTTATGGTTTAAAAATATATATTCCCTCTTTGCAAAATTTGTTTTTAATCCTTGTTTTACAAACAAAGCTGGAAACAACAGCTTCAGGACCTGCAATGCCTGTGAGTTGAAACAGACCAAGTCTCCTGGTCAGTACAGTTTTTTAAGGGTGATACAGTGGATGTGATGTGGGATACTAAGTTGTACTGATGTGTTTGGGATTAATCAGGCTTCAGTATTTATAAAACAAACAAACAAACAAACAACACCCCCCCAAAAAAAAAAAAACAAAACAAAAAACAGCCCTTACATAACTCCAGGTTTCTAGAGTAAAGGTGTACTTTGATGTTCCAATAACAGCTTGTTTGCATTTCCTTCTACTTCACAACCCTCCAGAAAAGCACTATTTAAACCTCACCAAGGAGATAAATAGAATAATGGTATCTCCTACTATTTTCACACAACAGTATCCTAGAATATAATAATCATGAATATAACTGTATAAACAGAAAAGCACCATATTTTTGTTTTCCACTCTACAGCAAGGCACAGTGCATTGTAAGAGGTGGACTTCTGGATCTTAATGGTATCGTGGTTTATCCTGATACCAGCTTTAAATTGGTTTTGAGTCCAATACTCCCATGTGTTATTTGTAAATATCCATATGTATATAAATCCATGTACAAACATTAGTACTACAACAATGCCTAAAGGCTCCTGTGAAGCTTAAAGATCAATATAACAAAAATCTGTACTAATAACATTCATCACCAGGGCTGTAACAGGTCTTGTAATATTAAGACTATGATACTAGTAAGTAAGTATTTAAGACTACAGAATGAGTAATTATTTCCTATGGTTTCCCAGTTTCCTTGAAAACTCACCTATGTAGGAACTAAGAAATTCCTGCTACTTCCTCCCAAATGAAACCTACTTATCTGACAAACATGAAAAAGGCATATTGGCAAAACAAAGTAAGCAACCCACCACCCAACAACAAAACCCTCCAAAAATCTGCCTATCACTCAGGAGCATATTGTTATTTTAAGTGTGAATCACTTATGTTGCATTTATTTTACCAAGGTAATTTTCAAATTGTGACACCAGAGATCAGAAATATTTTAGCTAACTGCAAGTACTTACAAAGTCACTGACAAAAATAGAGCACTCAGCTGAATCAGCTTTTTGCAATGTGAGTAGTCATGCTTCCTCTCTAAGGCTAACTTACATTTGACCCATAAATAAATGCAGAATGAGCATATTTTCTATAATCTGGCATTTTTTCAAGCAAGTTTCACTGAAAGCATTTACCATGAGGTATTGCCTAGCAAGACAGACAGACTCAATTGTGCCCTGGAGGTAGACAGTGGATTTCTTCTGTGGGTTACTAGGGTCAGGGAAGTGGACCTGAGCACCAGTCCTCTGCATGATATGTTTGATGTTACTGCCATTTCGACCCATCATAAAGAGATGATGCTGTGCTGCAATGTCTAGTTGTGTGCTCACAGGGATTGCAGAGGCCAGACTCCCAGCTAGGTGTTCTAAAAGCATGGCTGTTCCTTCCTGCAGGAGAAATGCAAGAAAGTGGTGAAACAGTGCTCACAGGCATACAAACCAACGTTACAGAATGTTTCCTCACTTCTCCTACATTCCACATTCAAGACAAAACTCCATTTTGTTTAAAACCTAATTGAATAGTTAAAGGTAATGGATGGACTAAACTCTACCTACTATTCCTACTTCATGACCAAATGCAGACTTTAATTACCATTGTAAGCAATAAACCAATGTCAAATGGTTTGATCCCAATAGACCTTCTGTGCCCACATACAGCAATAAGAAAGATAAGTGAGCTTTGGGTAGATATACCGGCAAAATGCGTCTTTTGATTTTGGCCTAAGATGTTCTTCCTGGCTTGAGATACACCCATCCAAGACCATATCAATCTACCACACAGTCAGTTCTTAACAAGGAAAAATTTTTATTAAGGTAAATAGGCTCATGGCAGTTCCTTTTACTCCACTGTCAAATTTCCATCTCCCAATACACAAGACCAGTTTTATTGAATGTTAGGGCAATTTTCAAGGTTATATACTTGAGTGCACATTGAGAAAATCAAAGCATGAGGAATTCATGGGGTGGGTGGGCTTGTTTTGTGGTTATTTTTGTTGGGTTTATTTTGTTTGGGTTTTTTTATTCGAAGTTGAGTAAGATTACCAAAAAATCTGAACGGGTGTGCAAGAGATGAAAAACAGATTGAAAGCTTAGCAAAAATGATGCTAAATCCTAAACTTAAAACTATTTGCTATGCATTTTTACACCTCACATACACCAGTTACTAAAAAAAACCCCAAACAAACCCCAAACTCTCAGGCTTCCAACGTGACCATACCATAACATGTATTGATGAGGCAGGATATAACATCAATAGAGTTCCTAAGTATCTAAACTATGAATCTGTTTATGACACACAGGAAGCTACTTAAGAAGACACATTACCTTCACAGCACTAGTGTTGTTTTGTGATCCTCTGACAATGACTGTAGCACCATACATTCGAGAGCGTTGTTTAAAGGAAACTGAAATATTATATGTCTGACATATATGCTGAATTGTGGGAGAATTAGGATCTGGGATTGGTTGAAGAATTCCAGCAATAGGCAATTCAAACATGAGTACCAATGGAAGCAGCTCCTACAACAACAATGAAGAGCAAACTGAAGAGAAAACTCAGTCATACTCACTAAAACTATAACAATTTTATTACTGAATTATAATGTAGCAGTCAGTGATGATTACGGACATAATACATCCTCTGTCCAGGGTTCATTGATAAAAATATTCTCATGTCTTGAGTTGGAAAACGGCACCAACTCTTCCAGAGAAGAGTTTTTTGGCTTGCCCAAGGAAGTTGTGAATGCTCCAACCCTCGAGGTGTTCAAGGCCAGGCTGGACAGAGCCTTGGGCGACATAGTTTAGTGTGTGGTGTCCCTGCTCATGGCAGGGGGGTTGGAACTAGATGATCTTAAGGTCCTTTCCAACCCTAACTATTCTATGATTCTATGTTGGGTTTTTTTTTGCACAGGTTGGGGGTTTTTTTGTGTTCCCGTTCACCCATCCTGAAGTCAGCTACAAAGCTACATAAACATTACATCAGCTTTAATATCTGCCAAGACTAAGACTGTGCAAGTGACATACCCGACTACAACAAGTTTTAATAATTAGATTTATAACTATCCATGGCAGAATATGCAGATATGTCAAAACTAGAAGGTAAAGATACAAAAGTGCTACAAGTGGAGAATGGAGCTGAATTCCACCAAACTACTTACACAAATTATACATCAAATGGTTAAACTAAAAAGACAGTAACTGCCTTTTCCAAGTTATAGATCCACCCAGAATGCCCGAGCTTCTACTGGCCATTTGTTGAGGCTAAACTAAAATGTAATTTTAAGCACTGTGTGTGATACTTTATTATATCTTGTTTATACTGTAGATCTTGTGTTCAAGGTCCACCTTGCACTAGTTAAAAGTTTGGCCAGTACGCAAATCACTGCTTTTACAATACCTTTTACATTTTACTCATATGGATACTCACAAACATTCCTCTATTACTGTTGTCATAACAGAGCCAGAAAACCTTAGGGTTCCCAAAACTATATATTTTTTTCCCCCTTTCAGGTGTTTTCAAAGGAATGCTATACTGAGATAGACTATTACCCGAATTCTAACTCTTGCAGACTCCACTCCAGCTGGCTGTCCTGCAATAGACACCTGGAAGAACAAGAATATAGAAAACATAGTATCACATTTTCAAATGAGGCATTGGAAGAGTTATTCAGGTACTCGTGTTTTCTTAACAAAAAAAAAAAAAAACCCAAATGAAAACAAACAAAACCAACCAAACAAAAAAGACCCCAATGCTTATTTCACACCCAGTGACATCTTAAGCATTCTCTAAATAGTACCTGAAAACCAAAACCAGCTTAAAAAGTAATCTATGAATATTATAGCATATTAGGTCACACAGGCTTAAATAACTAGAAAAAAAAAAAAATCGGTATAGCAAACAAAACAGTAGTTTGGATCAAATAAAGAATTACTACTGAGTATACATGTGCTCAATGCTAATACTCGACAACAGTAGGTTTTCTTGAGCATTTTGAAATTACTGTATTTTGCTCAGCAGCCACTCAGATGCACAAGAGGGAATTCTAAATACAGTGATGAAAGACTTGAACATTCCAATAGTATCAGCATTACAAAAATGACCGTACAATCCTGGTTCAATAACTTATTCCAAGAAAGTTGAACTTTTACAGTAAGGCATCTAATTTTGCTGGTTATCCACCAAGTTTAGTTTTCAACTAAGTTACATCATAAGTCAAAAGCACTAAATTAATCATGTATTCTAAATAGGTCAGGTGTCGAATAGGAAAAACATTTACAAAAAGAGTGATTTTCATACCCCTTCTCTATCATTTGCACTAAGTTGTTGACTTCCATATGCTCAAAATAATGTTAATTTAAAAAAATTAAAATGATTCATGAACCATCATGAATTGTTTCCATCTGTTTTTAAAGATTTGCTCACTTTGGACATCCTGTGCTTTCCACAGTAAATACCAAAAATCTATTTCCCTGCCAAAAAACCCAAATTGACAAAAGTAGTAGTAGTATAGAAGTTGTTTATACTTTCAGGAATTACAGTATGAGTTAAATAGTAAACAATACTCACTTGGTTGCTCTTCTCTGCTTGATTATTCCTATTTGAGTCTGGAAAATGGATATGACATCCTGTTTCCTCCATCACCTTTTTAATATTATTGCCACCTTTACCTATCACATGAGAATGTTCTGTATGCGAAACATCCATCTTCAAGGTTACCCGATTGCTCTGGAAATCAAGCACCTATGATTAGATTTGTTCACAGCAGAACCTGAGTATTTTAGAGTAACGTAACTTCAAGGATGAAATTCAAAATCTTATTACCAAAGTATTTTTTGCTGTGGCTTAACTGGCTTAGCTTCTACTCAAGTAAGATGTTTTTAATACAGATCTTAGTCAGACACTAAACTATTCACATTTTCTTTCCTATGAGAAAATAACAAAGATATATACCCCAAAATAAACCTTCAAAATAATGTTTAAGGCTTTTAAAACATGTCCTAGATTTTACCACCTGTGGCTTACATGTCTTTCAGCAATCCATTCTAATTTATTTTAATTCTATGTTCTTTCAGTTGCAGTCACACACCTGTGTCTGACCTATCACAGGATCATATGATGCAGACCGGCAAATCAAAGCCATAGGACCTAAAATAACAGGTTTTTCTCCTCCTTTAACAAACGTACCAGATTTTACTGGTACATCAGTTTATAAAATACACAAACACTGCCTACAGCTGTTGTTAAAAGCTGTACTGTTAACAGTCCATAATAATGTTGTTTACAGTTGTTAAAAAAGTGGTGCTTATCACTGGAGTGTTCCTTTTGGCAATCTGTTCAGAGAAACAAAAAGTTGGCGTACAACTATGCAGAAGCCATACACACTGCCCCAGAAGTCTTGCTATTCAATGAAAAGAAAGTCTGATGAACATATGAAACCTCTGGACAAAATCTAGATGTTTTGGAAATACTGGTCCTAATGTTTCAGAGTACAAGAATGCAGTAACAGTTAGAAACAGAATTGCATAAATGCTCCTGAAATTGAACTTCAAACAGATACAAAATTCTAGGTTTGCTGAAGTCACTGCATTATCTACTGTTTGCAGTGAAGCTGTATTTCAGATTTTCAAGTAAAAACCCCAATCCAGTGAAGAAACTGTGCATGCTTTTAGTCATATGGCTGGAAATACTATTTCTATACAGTTCAGATCTGGAAAAAAAGCTGTAAGCAAGTATTTTCTTGCAGCATGTTTATGTATGTGCGTATACACCAAATATCAACATCCAGAAGGAATACTTTGGAGACTCTGTTTCAGAGCATCCATAAGTAGCTTCTGTTTAAATGAGTCCATTTAAAGAGATCAATGTCATCACAAAATAGGGGGATAAGGTGTCATTCTAAAGAAGTTCTTTCTTACTTTTGTGTCCAAGACAGACATGATTTTCTCTTTCGCTTCTTTAACATTTTCCTTTTTTCCAGAGACTTTAATATGCGGATCTATAAAAGACAGACAGACTCGTAAGGAAAACACAGTAAAATATCTACCAAAATCTTCCTAATTGCTTAAATAAATTTGTATCCATTATTTATAGCTCAGTGATAAACTGTGCTATCAATCTTTGGGATTCAGCACTAGATGTATTGTTCCATCCCTTCAACCTCATGATTAGAATTGCCAGATAGGTCTATTGAACATGATACCAATTTAGAAAGAAATCAAATGCTAAATGTTTATCACAGTAATTTAAGTGTTCTCTGCAATGCAATTATGTAACTAAGCCATCACGTCTTCTCAAACAAATATTAACAGAAGACAACTAAAAGCTATTTGACAGCCTCATTCAAGCTTAACAAAGACAATGTCTGTGAAAAGAAACTCAAACTCAAACCCACCCTCATCATCACTTCATTATATTTAGCCTCTAGAACTTTGCAGTTTTAACCTGGTAATAAAGGTGGCTCCACCAGAAGTTTTCTGATTGAAGTTATTAAATCAAATTTAAATGACACTTTGATAAATCAAATTTCTAAATTGTCAAGTTTATAAATTAAGATTTGCTATTAAGCTATATACCAGGAGGAACACCAGCTGATAGATGATTTTGCCCAGCAAGACCTAAAAATATCAGTTCTACTACATACTTCAGTTTACATTATAATTTTCAGACCATTGCCCTTAAATAGTAGGTAGTGTTGTGCCGAGCTATCAGGTATAGTTCTGCATCCTGGAATATACACCTGGTTGGATAGTACAGAACTGACTGGAACTAGATCAAGCATCAATTACTCAAAAAGAGTGTGAAAATTACACATGAGATAGCTTAGCAGCACCATCTGGTGTCCAGAAGCATGAAGCACCACAATGCAAAATTACTGTCAAAGCATTAAATATAGGTTCAATTAAAGCAAACAAAAATATTTAAGTATGAGAAACAGATTTTGCAGGTGATTCCAATTTCTTTTTCCCCAATTCTTGAGTCCTCTCCCCATTTTCTGTGTAACAGTGCTTTTTCTCCTGTGGTGGGATGAACTGTTCTAAAAAAAAACAAAAACAAAAACAAAAAACCCATAAAATTCTAAAACTTCTTCTGGCTAATGTATTAATTTAATTCATTATGCTAAGCAGATACATACATGTCAGGATATGTAAAAATAAATATACTCTCAATAGCTGTAAGACAATCATCTTGATGATTGAAAAAAAAAAAAAAAAATCACTTCACTACTAAAGAAATGCCAAAAAATATACCTTTAGATTGAAAACCTGTTGTATTCAATTGAAAATTGAAACTGTTCAAGCCGTGTCTGGATACTCTTTTCATTCCAACAACAACTACAACAAAAAAATCTCTAGTCTTTACCACTGGGAAGTTCTGAGAGCATTAGGCTGAAGATACAGAAACACTGAAGGGATTCGCTGCCAAGTTACATGAAAGTCAAGAAAAATGCAGCAATTTGAGTTCTGAGAAACATATATTTTATTTTAAAAAGTGGAACAACTGCAGTTGCAAAAACGTGAACATTGAATCCACAGCTCTAAAAATCTGCTGCTTCAGTCTTTACATAATGTAGCAAAGTAAAAAAAAAATAAAATAAAATCCAAAATCAACAACAAAAACAACCCAACCCCAAACCAAAATAACTCTTAAGGGCAATTCTTCTTTTCTCTTTAAAGTTGACAGTAAGCTATGTGGTTCTAATGTGTTTAAGCTGTGAATGATATTTGAAGTGGATGTCACAGGCAGAAATTCCCAGAAGCAGACTCTAGCACACTATGTATGCCCCAAGTGCTCTTTAGAAGCAACCAGGAAAAATACAAAATCCAACCACCACCACTTTGGGGTTGATTTTTCACATATTTGTGAACATTGTATTTCAATACACATTTGGTTACAAGTATGAAAAATATCTGAAATCAAGCCTGTCATCTTCTTAGTACCAAAGATGATGATTACCATTCCATAATGCTATTGGTTTAGCCATGGGTGAAAATACATTTGAGAATACTTATTTTCTCTATTTCTCATCTCAGTTGGATTTCTTTTTTTGCCGATACTGACAGCTTCAGCAAAAACTCTCGTACTTAAATAATAACTAAATCACTGAAAAAAATAGATCACTTTAGGAATTCATTAAAAATACAAAGAGGTAATTAGATCATGTGACTTGATTTTTTGTATATTACAGACCTTTAAATTTCTTAAATATACCTCTCTGTGGAATCAGTTAGCTTGCTTGCATAGTTTCCACTGGAAAGCATGGAAAAGCAGAAAATTGTCTGCTCTAATGGTTCCTCTGTTTCAGCCTCCCAGCTTTGTGCCTGCTTTCTGACACTTCTTGTTCTACCTTTTTTCCCCTCCCTGAGATTAAGTAACCCTTAGTTTCAATAGTATCTTCCAGTGAATGTCTGGTAAGATATGCTTATCAAATCAGCTATCATTATATAAACTCTCTTTCTGAGCCCAACCCTAAATAATCTCTTGTTGGACCAATCATTAAGAAAAATGAGCTAGAGAAGCTGCCTGTTTTTTTCCTGCCTAAGTTAGTTATTTTCAAAGTACAGGACTTTCTGTTTGTAAAACGCTATACCATAGGCACATTTACCAGGAGATAAAAAGCAAGTTTCTCCCAAGCTTCTTGCAAGCCCAGTGCAGATCAGGCTGCATTTGACCTCAAACAACTGTCTGTTAAATAGAGAAAATCTGTTACTAATGGAATCAGCATTTACCTTCAGTTTCAGCTTTCTGGTTATAATCCAAACTATTTTGTGGAAAAGTCTGAAACTGGATAGTATCTGAAAATTGGTTTTAGAATTCCTATCCAAGTAGGGATGAAACAACCACATAAGATCTTTGAGCATCAATACAAGGGAGTAATTAAAACAGTTGACTTACTTATGATTTCTAAACATTTTCTGAAGCTGTTGTCACCAATAAGTAGCCAAATACATTCAAAAGGGTTCCAGACAATTTATTGCTTCTTGGCACTACAAACTTAGTGTGTTCAGTCCTTGAATATGACAAGTGATGTTTGTTTGCTCTTGTATTTAGATTAGATAGGGCTGAACATAAAACTTCTCCCTGCCACCTATTATACAGGTGGAACTATTTATTCCACGGATTAACAGCTATACTTTTTTTTTTTAATTCAGAAACCAAAAATACCACCTTGCCTTAGACAAAAATGTATGTTGGACAAAGCTCTACATATAATATTTGAAACAGCCACAGAGTGCAACGGTTGCAATGCATTCTCAACAAAGTCCAAAACAAGATAAATGGCACTATTAAAAGCATGAAGAGGATTGTCAGGCATAAAGATATAGTGGGTGTAATGTATGTATAGTATTGTCAGTACAGATAAGCACAAAATCACCCTCCAGTCAGTATCTGAACTGACCACAGCACCTGCACACAGCCTTAACTGGCATGAGACCACCCATTGAACAAGACCAACCAATTCCCACCGAAATGGCTCTTGGTGCAACTGCAGCCATAACAATGCCAGTTTTGTCCAGGTGACAACACTATCTGATCATCAAGATGTGCCATACTTCATCCCTAAGGAACACTAGGTTTGATATCTATTTTTACTGGGGCAGTGGGGGGAAAATCCCATTTCCCTGCCCACCCTTCCCTCCTCCCCTTTTTTTTTTTTTAAGCTTTTACATACAGCTGGAAATATACTTTAAGTAAAACTAGAGTTACAGAAAAGAACAGATGCCTACTATGAATGAAGAAATAAGACACCAAAGCTTTACAAACTATTTGTTAACACAGAACAAAGGCTTCAGAAGAAGTCTGTGTTGCTAAAAGCATATAAGGCTCTAGTGCTTTAAATAGAAGTGTAGTACCACAAACTGGAGAAAATTTTGATTCATAAGAAACAACATGATTAGCGTCTTGCAAAATATAAAAACCTTTTAATGACTTTGATGGGCAGTATTTTTTCCCATAAGAATGGAAAAGATAAAATTAATTTTAACAGATCTCACTCCCCATCTCAGGAATGGGGGAATATTTACATAAAATAGAAAACTCAAGTTACACAACAGAAAATGCTGGAAATTTTTCTCAACAGTTTTCATTTGGCAGACTCCTGCCTTCAAGTGGTCTTTTATTGCTCCTATCCTCAAATTCCTCACTCTGCACTTTGGCAGAGTTTCCACCTCCTCTGTCTTTGTCCACAGCTATACAAGCAAGCCTCCAGCTTTTTTGCTACTATTGTGTGCAAAATTTCAGTAAACAAAACGAAACTCCTCCAAGCAGATATGTTTGTTCCAGTGCAAACGCATCTACACTGATTTTTGCCCAGCAAAAAGTATTTCAAATAATTAAACCATTTAACTGTGTAGGCCTCTCCTGCAATTCAGACATCACATTTAACATCTGGGCAAGCTCTTCAGACCACAGCTATGCATGTAGCTTGTTTACAGGATGAACAGACTTTACTTAAGTTACAGAAATAACACTATCCTAAAAATAGCCAGACAACTGGGCAACACCAGGGCAGATGACAGTCATTCTTAATAAGAAGCTGATTAGGATCTGAATAGCCCATGAGTATTACTGAACTTGCGCCACTCAGATTAAAACAAAGACACAAACAGGCCTAACATTTTTTAGGACAAGCTATGAAAATATTTGCCCCAAAATTACTGACAAAACCACGCTAAATTTTGAGAAGTTAAAATAAAAAGAAAAAAGTGAACACATGTAAGTTGCTGTATTCTCAAATGAAAATGTGAGTCCATCATTTGCCCTACAACAACCCCATGAAACATAGACAAGTGAATTAATCAGAAAGGAAAAGGACTTCCTATTAATAAGGAAAAATGGATAATTGAATTGAATAAATTTAATGTTTTAAAATAAATTAGGAAATACTATGTGTACAGCTGTTAGAGTGGATATTCACTGACCAAAGTAGATTCATGATAGCTGATAGTCTTGAAATAGGCTCAATTTGTTCCCATGGAGAAGAAACATTAAAGCTAA